TCTTGCAGAAATGGATCTTAATACTAAAATAATTTAAAAAATTCTTACCAAACTGATGGCTAATAGGAAAATGATCTTCATTTTGGTTAATCTGCCTAACCATTAAAAACAATTGGCGATATTTTGGTATATATATGCGAAGGCAAGTATTTTGATTGCCTTTAAAATATTTGAATTAAAAAAATTGAGGATTTTTAACAAAACTCATTAAATTGACAAATTTTAACGAGCAAATGAACATTCTTAAAATATTATTTCGGAAATAATTTTTTTTTTTTGGAAAATATTTTGATTTGTTTATCAAGTTTTAACTCGTGGCTGATAGTGGAATAAAAAATAATATTTTTCCTGTTAAATTTTCAAAAAACTGCCAAGGTTATTAGCTTTTCTACATTAAATGTAGATTTTGACTCTTTTTTTATTTTTTATATATCTTTTGAACAAAATAATTGTTCTCTTTGGTAAACAGTACCTAAACAGTGAAATTTTATATTTAACCAGTTGTAAAAAATATTTCAAAAATAAACGTTACTCTTTTGTAAAATTTTTTAAATAATTCCTATAAATATAGTGTAACTTTGAGTTACAATACACGGAAGGAAATGTTATGATAAAGTAAATCAAATCCATTTATTAATTTAAGAAAAGCCAAAATTTATCCAAAATGAATTAGTTTAATCTAAAATAGAACAAATCAAGAAAAAAACTGACAAATTTAAGTTTTTTATGATAAATATGTATACATTTCGCAAATGATTAATATCATCAAATTAAAATTAATATCCTAAGATAGATATCGTTTAAGTGCTAAATCGAATACATTTTTTTCTAGGAACAGCAAAGTTAAGATTGGTCACAGAAAAAGTTTTTCTTAAACCAATCAAACATTAAGATTGGCTTTATGTAACGTTAAGCTTAATTTTCAAAGAAAAGATAGATAAGATCAACTCTTGGATTTTATTATTATATTCCTATTTGGATTAATTTCATCAAATAATATTTAAATAAAAACTAAATTGATTTAACTTTATTTTTACTAGTATTAGTAAGTAGTATCAAAAGTTGGATAGAATTAGTTATATATTAGATTAATGTTAGTACACATTTTATAGGTCTTTTTCTAAAATTCAGTAAATGTTTCTAAACGTTTAAATGTTTAAACATGTATAGATATTAAGCAATTATTTTATTGTTTTTATTCCAAATATATTTGGAATATGTTTAAATTAAAATAATCCTGTCTAGATTGAATTATTTGAAAAATTTACTGAATTTTAGAAAAAGACCTATAAAATGTGTACTAACATTAATCAAATATAAAACTAATTCTATCAAATTTTTAATACAATTATCCAATATTTGACTGAATTATTAAAGGTCACCTAAAATCAAGCTAATATTCTGACCAAATCTGTAATATAAGCAGCAAATTTAGCAAACATGCCAATTTTTAATTTTTAACGCGTTTTAGTTTGCATTTTCTCTTCGAGACAGGTGGTGTAGTGAGTTGTGAAAGAACGATCGTGTCTATTCAACACAGCAGATTCCAAAACCGTTTATTTTGACTTCGCTCTCATAGTTTTTGCGATATATGTAGGTATAATAAATTTTATTAATTTCCACGTCAGGGACATGGATAATATTAAAATCGTGATCACAATCCCCACAAGAAGGTCTGTTCGATTTCGTTGGCATTCGAACGAAAACTGTTGTGCGCACCACGTGGGATATCTCCAGCCACCATCTTTGATTAATTTGACGCCGTTAAATTAAATTTAAACAGTTGTTTTTTAAGGTTTAAACGCAAATATTTTAAAACTTTAAAAATTATGAATTATAATATAATAATAATTTTGAATTTGACTACCCTATGCTTTTTCAAGTGTTTTCTTAAATAAAATAATGTTAAGCAGATTAAAATATGTTTTAAACAAAAATTAAATCATTTTACATGTTTATTAGAATAACTAAAGTGAAAAATAAAAAACGTAAAAAAACGTTAAAATTATTTTGGGTAGACATTGTCTACCTTGTCTACCCGCACGCTTCGTCACTGATTATTATACAATAATTGTTATAATAATTAATAATTGTTAATAATTATTATTATTATTATTTCCCAAAATTTTACTAAAGTCAACGTATTGTGTTGTGAGTATTATGGAAGGACCCCTACATAAGGTTCTAAATAAAACATTGTTAATTTTGTATATATATATATATATACACATATATTAGGTATCAGTGATATGACCAACATTAAGCATTCTTCCCACTATTTTGGCCTGGTTCAATTCCTTCTAAAGCATCTAAAAAAAAAAACAGGGAATTAAAATGTAATTATTGTAAGAAAATTATAAAAATATACCTACAGTTAATTTTTTTTATTAAGTTGGTAGGTACTTACTTATTTGTTTAATCAAAGATTGAACGAATTGAAGAAGTGAGTTAAGAAAATCAGATACTGGGGACAAAATCTTTCTCATAATACTGTGAAATCCTTCTGTCAACATGTTATCTATATTTAGAAGAGGGTTTGAACATATTACAGCATCCAAAACCACCTGTATAAAATTTTTTAGAAACTTTTATAAATCTACCAACATATTTAATATACAAAGTGTTCCACGGTCACCAGAATATACTTTGAAAATTATAAAAAAAAACAAAACAAAGAATTCGTGGTTTCGTTGACCATGGGACACCCTGTATATTGTTTTTACTCACCAAGGCAATTAATAAGAAGAATAATCCTCTCATTTTGATAAAAAAAAGTTGGTATATACCTTCAAAAATTGACCAACAATAAACCTATTTAAGTTACAAAGGTATTCGTCAAAAATATTTTAATTGCAAAAAACTTGTTAACCTTATCAAATAATTTTAAAAACCTTTAAATCAACATTTTTCGGACTTAATTAAAATTTAAAAAATGCTAATATAAAAAAACTACTATAATATACTCAATTTTTTTATTTAAAGGCCAGAACATTTTTATTATGGATTTTTATCAACCAGAAGCCGCTGTTGTGGTAGTAGCGGTAGTCGTAGTAGGGGGTTGGGGTCGTGGTCCTAAAATAAAAAAAAATATTGAATAACCTCACTTTTCAGTTGTAACTTGTGTTTTTTAGCTTTTAGCGTTGTTATTGACAATTAGCTTAATTTCGAGATATTTAAAAAAAAAATGTAATAGAAGTTGAAATTTTTTTTTCTAAATGTAAGAATACCTTTATTCTTAGAAAAATTTACTTGATTTAACTATAACCCTGATAGCACACTTTATTCTAAGAATGTTTTTTAAACCTTCCAGTGAGAATATTCTTAGGATCATGCTATATTTCTTCTAAAGAACATGCTTAAAAGACATATAGCATGATCCTAAGAATATTATTACTGGCCTATAGGCAGGTTCTTAGAAGGTGCAAAGTTTTAGTGGTAAAAATTAGTCTACTCTAAACATGTGCTTAGAATGTTAAGAAAGTAATTGCTATAGAAAGTTCATTTAGAAATATTCCTGTTAAGCATATTTAGTTCAGTTATATATTATATATATATAATAGTAAAATATACCATAAACTACGTATAAAGGTATATACCTATACTTAAGTACCTAATTAGTAATTAGTATTAAATACTAAGAAAAATACACAATCCAAAATATTTTTTTATAGTTATTTGTCAAATTAAAACAATATTCGATAACAAAAATACTTTTACTATAGGTATTTTATTTTATGTTAAAAATAAATATTTATTAATTTGTATAGGTACCGATTTTTTATTTCTGAATTAACATTTTTATGTATAATAATCCTAACTATCTTCAACTTCAATCTAATCTGACTTATCCCACAAAATTTTCCAATTTTACTTTTTATGAAATAATGTCACACAACTTATGGCTTAGAGGTCAAATTGTTTATTTAATATTTTTAAATAAATATATATTAATATGTCGCAATTTTTTTTAAGGGGACGACAAATACATTTCACTGTCATATTATGACAGTGAGGCGTATTTGTCGTCTCCTGAAGAATTTTACGAATGTAGAATACAACATATTAGAACGTGGGTATCTGACATATTTGGAAATATTCTCAAAAGCTTCCTAGAAGCTCCATAAGAAACCTTCTAAGAACATTCCAAAAACGTATTCTTGAAATGTTCTTAGGATGCTTTTTAGGAAGGTTTTAAGAAGCTTTTAGGAATCTAATTGCATCATTAAAAGGGTATCTATTGAATGTTTTAAAAGTCCCTAAGAACATTCTTAGCAATAAGGGAGGGTTCTAAGAATATTCCATTATTCCGGGTCATATCTTCTTAGAGGATTCTTAAAATCAAATTTTGCTATCAGGGATGTACTTACCCCTTCCTCTTCCCCCATAACATGCTGCGGTGTGTACATGATTCGGGTCTTGTATATGCCCGATAAGTGACTCTGCCTCAAGGTTTGTTCCTTGCGGCATACCATTAGAATTCATCTATAGATAAAAGAAATAATAACAATTTTGTAAAACGTAACTTTAACGTTAGAATTGCAATTCTTACCACTAAAACAGCACAAAAGACCACGAACAAAGTGAAAAAGTACTTCATGATTATTTACCAAATTTGGGAAAAATTAAATGTGTACAGATTTTTGTATGTTTCAGTATTTATACTAAAAAAATAATACGGTTCAAATTTAATAAAATTAGGGTTTAATATGTGTGTTAAATGACTATTAAATTATATGTATCTTTTGTTGATTTTGCACACCAGGAATTTTGATATGAGGAAGTCTATCTTATTTTCTATAAATTCAGGAAATACTTTATGCACATGTCAATTTAAACGTATAATTTATTTGGCCAAATTTCTGGAAATAAATTATTAAATAAATTTGCATTAATAAAAAAAGCAGAAACTGTCGATAAAAACCATCACAACAAAGATACTTGTTCTCTTTGTACCTAAATAATTTGGTATGGTGTGTTCTGGTGTAAAATAAAATAGTAGTGTTTTTCCAAAAAAATTTATTCAGTGTTTAACTTATTGAAAACCCTAAGATCCTCCTTATCTTCTTCCTTCATATCTTCATCACCCCATCCCCATATACAATCCTCATGCTCACGCCCAAGCGTATCAATATCTTCTTTAACTTGAATCATCCCATCTCCAGTCCTCTTGATTCTTTTCTTTACGATATCGAGGGAAGCCGTTTTTAGGTCGTAAGCCCATCCTATTTTAGCCATTAGATCTATGAAGCCTGTGGACCAGTTGAGTCTGTAGTTTCCTAGCTCGGCCGTTTTGTAGTCCCAAGGAAAAGCGTGGTGGTAATTGTGCCAACCTTCTCCAAAAGCGATAAATGCTACGAGATAGTTTTCAGTCGGTTTTATGCTCCTAAAACAAATAAAACATGTTTAACTTTAAATTGCTCAAGCAGCAACACAAATCTTTAACCCTATCAAATCGTTTGTTTTTACAATACTTGGGGTATAATGTCGTCAACAAAAATGTTTGATATCTAACGAAAAACGCAATTTGACGAAACACTGCAAAAAATTGAATCTAGTACATTAAATCTTTTAATAATAACGATGTTGTCGAAATTAACTAAAACGACTGGAGCTGGAGATGTGAAGCTCGTTAAAAACGCAGGAGCATTTTTGTTTGATATGATTTCATGTGATCTTAATGGCAGAGAAGTTGATAGTGTGGGTGATCCAGGTATTGCAAGCACAATAAAAAGATTTTTATGCTATGGTACAAACGATACAGCAAGCATGCAATAAATCACTTACTTATCGTAAGGTCTCATTCCCCAAATGTGAGCGGCACTATTCACCAACCATGTTCCATTTAATGAATAAGTATAGCGCAAAATTCCTGCAGTGTGCCATGAATTCCACAACGTTTCGCCCCAGAAATACCATGGGACTAGTGCTGGTATCAGAAAGGCAAAGGGCATCAAAATCAAGTAATACCTAAAATAATTATAAACATGTTTATAGGATGCTTTAAATTGTGATCGAAATATCAATGGTTCACAAATTAAAACCTATTGTTAAGTAAAATAAAATGCTTTTTGTAATGATTTGCAAAATTTTTCTATTTTTTTATTTTGGTTCAAATATGGCTCCTACTCGAATTATTATACTTTTTTTGGAACATAACGACTGGGTCTGCCTCCAAATCGCTCAAGTCGATAGTTTTTCCTTTCGTGGAAACATCCTTGTGCTTTTTTATCATCAACCAGCCCATGTGGGAGAAAAAGAATCCCCTTTTGGCGTTATGTGGGTCAGCGTCTGTGTCGGTAAACTTGTGGTGCACCCTGTGGTCTCTCGCCCAATCGTATATGGGGGTTTGAACAGACATGGTTTGCAGAATACAAAGAAATATTCGTAAAGGTAGACGCGCTTTGTATGCTCTGTGAGACCATAATCTATGTGCTCCCGAAGTAATACCCTGTCCAGCGAGAAATACTAGAGCTAGAACTAAAATAATCTTACATAATTAACGCAATTATTGTTTTGCTTGTTTTTTTCTCACCCCAATATATTGTTTTAATTTTACACGCTGTAACCAATAAATACAACCCGTATATTGCAAAGGGATGCAAATACAGGAATAAAATAACATTTCTCCATACTATTTTCCATTGGTACTGAGGCTGGCTAGGTTGGCCTTTTATAATTTTAGGTTTGGGTGGGTCCACAGGTCTTACTTTGTACTCTACTGGTTTCATCGGATCCTCCGAGTTGGATAGCACCAAGTCTGCTAAATTTGGTGCCATATCACTAAAATTATATTAATATTAACACCAATAAACACCTTTATAACTTTGGACGTTATCCAAAATAGTTGGATTGGTTTTTCTAATTAGTTTGTTTAAGTAAATTTTCTATAATTTTTTGGAAACAGTAAGATTTTATATTAAACCATTTGCACAATATTGTCAAGAAAAGAGTTGAAACCTGTTGTTAAAAATATTTCACAATTGTACAATTTTTTAAATAATTAGTATAAATATAGTATAACTTTGAGTTAGAATTTTACAATATTGGACAATTGTTCGGGAGTGAAGCATCGCACCACCTAAGATAACCAATGAAATGATTTCCCGCTTGAAATAAGACGCCGGCCGGTCGCTCAACTGCAATCTGCATCATCAGTTTGCAGTTTTAGTTGGTGTTAGGAAGTGTATCATTGTGAGGTTGGTACCACATTTCTGGTGAGTAATTATTGAATATTATTTTTCCGAATAGGTAGGTAGGTATTTGCAAAATTGTTCAGGGACTGGGATAAAGCAATAATTATGACCTGGTGATCAAATGAGGATAAAACGTGTTTCTATGTTCCTACTGTGCTACATTATTGATCAGCTTACTATTTACTTTAGTTTTTAATTTATGTTTTCAGTTTATATTAACTTAATTTTGTCCTTACAAAATTTTTGTGTTGGTCGCTGAATACATATTTAATCTATCGACATTTGTACTATTATAAGTGGAGACGCACTTCATGATAAATTATATCTCAATATTATTAGAATTAGCTATACGAATTTCATTTTTCAGTTTGTAGTTTATGTTTATTTTATGTTGCATGTGTCAGTTTATATTAAGTTTAGGTAATCTATTTTCCATATTTTTTGTATAATTCGCATCCCAAAAATTTAAATTTACCAAATATGAAATTAATTTAAAATACTTTTTCATTCAAAAAATATCTTTAAGCCCGTGAATGATAATGACATTAGTAATTTGATTTAATATTTAAAAAAATTAATGTTGATGGACTTTTGGTTTTTCTAATAAATATATGGGTGATTCTACAAAAGTTGGACAACTTGATGTCATCAGTCAATAGAGTAGGTATTTTAATATTTTTTGTAAATATTTTAGTATATTACAAAAGATCCAGTTTTTTTTTTATCTTGTCCACCCAATTTTAATGTATTTTTTCAAAAGCACGTTTGTAGAAAAACATAATAAATATTCACAACATCAGTGGCGTGTCACAACTCCTGAACCAAATATTTGAGTGATTTTATTTTAAAATACATTCAATTTATCTTAAATTTTTCAATTTCACTACAAAATATAAAACATTAAATAATGTATTTTTTATATTTTATCATAGATTCGAATGATGGCAATTTAAAAAAAAATGATAATCTTAGTACTCACTTTTTCCCGTCAGTTCTGTGTCAAATGTTAAAATTAAAAATTCCTGCAAAATATTGAAGTTTAAACCTCAAGTCCTCGTTTTAACTCAAGTGTTGGTAAAAAATTACCTACAGAGCCCGCCCTTTGCACTACAGTCATCTTATAAACAATGCAAGCGGCGAAGTTGTGGTGAATGCACGAATAGTTCCAGTCAAAATTTCACTACTGTGGTGAGTAGTTATTTTCTTACGTTTATGTATTTCATTCATACAAATTTGGTGTGGGTCCCATATCTAATATTTGAGATATCGGTATACCCAAAATCCACCAGCCGCCACTGATGTGTGGTATTATTTGATTTTAAGATATTTAATGTATAATATGCTCAAAGTTGCAATAAATCTTATATTTTTCAATAAATTATGTATTTAATTAGTACCCTGGTATACTCGTCACTTCCCTTGCATTCAAATTTAGAAAACACAGATGTTTCAGAAACTGTTTGAGAAAGTGACTGGCCCGGTCTGGAACAGTAAATTTATTATATTATCTATGTTTTCATAACAAAATACTGTTTAATTTTCTCCGAAAACTATATAAAAAAAAGTTGACCAACTTTTGTAGAATCACCCATATATATGTAAAACATCAGGGTATTTTACCCTGAATAAAACTAATTTGATTGGCTTCACTTATTATTTATTACTTTTTAACTAAATTTATTAAACTGCTATGATTCGACTTCTACAAATGTTCTGCGGACTCTGCGTTACCATTCGATTTCTAAGCTGTGCCCAGATTGTTTTGCTTAGTAGGCACACGTGCCTTTATTGCTCTACTGTCCTACTTTGGTAAAAAAGGGATTATCCTAACACGGCCATCCTGTTTTCGGAGCGTCCTCGCGCCGTTTCCTTTTCTTTTTTTTTTATTTCTGCAAAAAGAAAAACCGAAACAGATTTTTGTTTTTAAAGTTGAAATATATCTAAATTAAAACTAATTTAAAGTCGGATGGTATTGCTATCCTCAGCAGTGGGTAGTAGGATTGCTACTATCTTGTTTTTTTTTTTTTGTCGGATGGGTTGCCATCCTCAACAGTGGGATTGCCACTTTCACCGAGGTGTTTAGTCACCTCCCAAGCATAATAGGACTCCTACTATCTTGTCTTTTTTTTGTCGGATGGGTTTGCCATCCTCAACAGTGGGATTGCCACTTTCACAGAGGTGTTTAGTCACCTCCCAAGCATAGTAGGATTGCTACTATCTTGTCTTTTTTTTTTGTCGGATGGGTTTGCCATCCTCAACAGTGGGATTGCCACTTTCACAGAGGTGTTTAGTCACCTCCCAAGCATAGTAGGATTGCTACTATCTTGTCTTTTTTTTTTTTTGTTTTTTTTTTTTTTTTTTTTTTGTCGGATGGGTTGCCATCCTCAACAGTGGGATTGCCACTTTCACCGAGATGTTTAGTCACCTCCCAAGCATAGTAGGATTGCTACTATCTTGTCTTTTTATTATTATTATTAAATACAATTAAATACAGGACTTACATTTTTTTTATTCCTTTGGCCACGGCCTCAGCTGTTCAAGGGCAGCAACTGTGGTCCTCTGACCCTTCTTGTGCAGAACATATCTCTCATTTGGTAACACCTGTCGAACAGTATAAGGTCCTCTATATTTTGGTTTTAATTTGCCTCCACCAGCAATTTGTGAATCTTCAATGGCTACAACGTCACCAGGAATAAACAATTTTGTAGAGCATCGAGTAGCGTTAAATCGTAAAAATTGTTTGTTTGCATTAAAGTTCATTCGATTTCGAGCGTCTTCGTCGGCCTTGTCTGCGTCGACAAAATTATCGCGCCCATCCAATAATAATGTCAATATCACTTGGAATTATTTCATCCAGCACAACAATAAAACAAATTTCTAAGGTCACGGTCGACAACACAGTTATTAGTTCACACATTCCTAGAGCATAAACAATTTGGTTCCCAAATCCTGTCAACGCGTGCACTTTTTCGTTCGGCTTGAAGGTACCGTTCAATGTGTTTACAAGAGAGCGTTTGATGATTGACACATCGCACAGTGTTTCAATAACATAACTACATGATACTGCATCGTCTTTACCGAGCACTGTTGCTATTGGTGTTAAATTCAGTTGATGTCATTTTTTAAGTATCAATGCTTTTTTGGTTTTCCACTTTTATACCAACAGTTCATTTCCATATGACCCATTTTTTTACAATGCGCACAAGTAGGAACAATTGACAATTCGCTTTTATTGGCGGAAACAACTTCTTTTCGGTAGTTTTCTTTACGCACACTACGGCATGAGCTTTGCTGATGTCCTTGTTCACCGCACTTAAAACAGGCTCCTTTAAAAACCTTTGTTTCTTTTTGTGCACAAAAACTTTTTGAATCCTGTTGATCTTTTCGGTGTCTTCCAAGCTTGTTTTCCATTATTCCAGAAGAACTGCTGATTCGGCGTGCATCGTATTCACTCAACAATTTCATTAGTTCGCGTTCTGTAGTAGGCTTCTGAATTCTAATTGCTGATTGCGCCTCTGCATTATTTAAATTATATTCTACCATTCCCAGAATGGTATCCCATGGCAGTTCATCGTGAAATTTTTTTATTGCACGTATTTTTTTGTTACCATAATCACACAATGATTCGCAATCACGACTGCTAAGAGTTGCTGCAGTATATGCTCGTGCTCCTGGTGTTTCTCGATCAGGAAATGCTACAGTTAGGTCATTACAAAAGTTTTCCCAAGTTCGGGAAATGGGTCTCCAATCACAAAAGTATTTGCATGCTCGACGTTTCAGTGCATCTCCTGCTTTTGCGATCATTACAATGTCACTTACATTTAGTTCCCTTTTAAGCTGGGTGATATCATCCAACCAATCTTTGATTGAATAGGCACTTTTATCGGGATCGTAGCTTGTGACATGGAAAGAGTACACATGTCTTGATGAAGACGCATGCGCATTTTCGTCAGATGAACTAGGTGTGGTCCTTGCCAGAGGTGCTTGGGACATTGCCATCTTGGTTTGATTTGCTAACTCAGCAAGTTGTTGCTGTTGCGTCACAACTAAATTTATTAAAGTTTCTTGCCACATTTTGACGCGTTTTGGAGTTGGAGGTTGTGAAATTTCTTCTGCATCTAAATCATCACCACATAAATTGTCATTTTCAACTCTAGATAACTCATCTGCCATCTTGATGCACTCACTCTTTGTCTGCTTTTGTTTATTATAAATTAACTTAATTTAACTTAACTAAACTAATTATTGTACATGGAAATCACTATCCCACTTCTGATGTAAAACATCAGGGTATTTTACCCTGAATAAAACTAATTTGATTGGCTTCACTTATTATTTATTACTTTTTAACTAAATTTATTAAACTGCTATGATTCGACTTCTACAAATGTTCTGCGGACTCTGCGTTACCATTCGATTTCTAAGCTGTGCCCAGATTGTTTTGCTTAGTAGGCACACGTGCCTTTATTGCTCTACTGTCCTACTTTGGTAAAAAAGGGATTATCCTAACATATATTACTATGTACAGTAAATTTACTTACCTAATTTGCTTGTAAATAAACTAATGAACCTTACATAATTGTATTGTTTCTTTTTTGAATTCGCTTTATATACTTACAACATGAACAAAAAAATTAGAAGTGGAAGTGGTTGAAATAATTAAAGTCATTAAATACAACCAATACATAGAAATCAATTAACAAATTTTCAATAGCGTACCTATTTATTTATTTTATTTAAAAACATAAAATTTGCATTAACGTTAACACACCATTAGCAAATTTATTAACATAAGGTACGTGGACTTCAAACCAAGCTAAATCTTCTAATGCAAACTGTCTTTTTATGGGGTTATGACCCTAGACCAGGTCTAAGGTTATGACGTTATAACGACAATATATTGTCTTCTCAGAAACTTGGCTCACTCATGAATTTTCCTCTGAAGAATTCAACTTTACGAATTATAATATAGCACTGCAAAAAGAGAGGGGGTGTTTTGGTAGCAATAAGGAAAAATTTTCCAGCATCTAGGGTAGCAATTCAAATCAACAACGACACACAAGTTTTGTGAGTGTTTTAATGAATTCAAGACGAGTTATATAGGTATGTATATTCCACTAAGTACACCTGTAACCACTTATTCCAATCATTGTGAAACACTTGAAGGTATTGTTGATATGGATGATGTGGATGGTTTAAGAATCACTGGTGCCATTTGAATATATGTATGGGTTGGGTTTTTTTTGTATAAAAATCTACAAGGTCAATTAAACTAAACAGTAGCCAGAAAAGCAGTAAATCACAGGAAGGCAAACATGCTAAAGGATTAAGTCAATCGCAAAGTTGGGTAAAATAATTTGAATATATCTGTCTCTAATTCTTTCCATGTTAACAAAATAACAACATGTTAAATGGCTAAATCTGCTTTAAAGTCAGTATTTGGTAAGAGCAGCTGAATCTTCCTTGAAGTCAGCTGCTAATTTTAAACAACCAGACGCGGCGCATATATTTTAGCATAGCACTTTTCACTTGAAGATAGAGTTTCTTCAATCAATGGAATTTGCTTAACTCCATTATTTTCATCCACTTTAGAGAATATGTTTGCTCCATATTCCTCTACTAGAAGGAATTCATGAGTAGAGGAAAGTCGCCTAATATGGGGGTAGCTCCTAATATGGGGTAACTTACTTTTGAGCAAGTACTAGTTCCGACATATATTGAGTATATTGTATACTAACCACTTACTTGCCAGGAAGCGCCCATTAACTTTTTGGAGCAAACATATGTTCTGTTTTGTCGTTTGAGGTTATAATAATTCTGTGTGGTAAGGAAAGTTTTTTGGTCGTTTTGCATTTTGATTGTTTAAGAAGACCTAAAGGTGAGTTTATAAAGTTTTAATAATATCATTCTATATAAAATTTTGTGTAGTTTATGAAAATGATTTTGTTTTTTTTAAAGAACACCAAATTTTTTGCAAATAGTCGCCCCTTTAAAAAATCTAATTTTCTCCTAATATGGGATACCAATCAATTCCTAATTTGGGGTACCCCATATTAGGAAATTATTTTCTTTTTTGTGTTATACCGAAGATATCAGAGGCGAAAAATGTGTGATGTGTCAAGGCTGCTTCAAATGGGCACACGTTGAATGTGCTGGATATGAAAGAAACCAGTATATTTGTGACTTTTGCGCTAGTAAATAGATTTTTTTTGTATTTTTCTTAGATGAGTAAAGTTTTTGGTTCATAAGAAAAAAAAATGTTGGATGCAGTTTTTATGTTTTATTTCCATAAATAAATAATTTTTATTAAAAAAAAAGAAATTTTTTTTTTAATTTTACATAATAAATTCCTATATGGGGTACCCCATATTATGAACGTAGTGTACCCCATATTAGGATGACATATGCCCCTAATATGGGGTAGTGAAGCTTTTTTTAAATGCTGAATATTTTCTTCTGCACTTTTTTTTAAACCTGTTTTTTCTTATTAAATTCTTAAAAAGTGTCCAGGGAAACGTAAAATTTACATAAAGTGTTAAAACTTCTTTACGTTTTTTTAATATAGTATTTTTTTAAAAAGTACCCCATATTAGGAGACTTTCCTCTATGAAATAAATAAATAGAATACAAATATCATATCTACAGATGTTTATATATTTTAACAAAGGAAAAAAGCAATAATTAAAAAAATTAGGAACATGCAACTTTTAAAGCTAAATATAATTTGACTGAAATTAAATATAGTTTTTACGCAGTGTTTAACTTGTTGAAAACCCTAAGATCTTCCTTATCTTCCTCCTTCATATCTTCATCCCCCCATCCCCATATACTATCCCCATGCTCATGACCATGAGCATCGACATCTTCTTTAACTTTGATGGTCCCATCCCCACTCCTCTTGATTCTTCTTTTTATGATATCGAGGGAAGCCGTTTTTAGGTCGTAAGCCCATCCTATTTTAGCCATTAGATCTATGAAGCCTGTGGACCAGTTGAGTCCGTAGTTTCCCAGTTCCGCCGCTTTGTAGTCCCAAGGAAAAGCGTGGTGGTAGTTGTGCCAACCTTCTCCAAAAGTCATAAAAGCTACAAAGTAGTTTTCGGTCGGTTTTATGTTCCTAAAACAAATAAAACATGTGTAACTTTAAATTGCTCAAGCGGCAACACAAATCTTTAACCCTATCAAATCGTTTGTTTTTACAATCCTTGGGGTATAATGTCGTCAACAAAAATGTTTGATATCTAAAGAAAACCGCAATTTGACGAAACACGGCAAAAAATTGAATCTAGTATATTAAATCTTTTAATAATAACGATGTGTCGAAATTAACTAAAACGGCTGGAGCTGGAGATGTGGAGCTCGTTAAAAATGCAGGAGCATTTTTGTTTGATATGATTTCATGTGATCTTAATGGCAAAGAAGTTGATAGTGTGGGTAATCCAGGTATTGCAAGCACAATAAAAGGATTTTTATGCAATAGTACAAACTATACAGCAAGCATGCAATAAATCACTTACTTATCATAAGGTCTCATTCCCCAAATGTGAGCGACACTATTCACCGACCATGTTCCATTTATTAGAAGTGTATAGCGAAAAATTCCTGCAGCATGCCATGAATTCCACAACGTTTCACCCCAGAAATACCATGGAACGGCTGTTGGTATCAGAAAGGCAATGGGCATCAAAATCAAGTAATACCTAAAATAATTATAAACATGTTTATAGGATGCTTTAAATTGTGATCGAAATATCAATGGTACACAAATTAAAACCTATTGTTAAGTCAAATAAAATGCTTTTTGTAATGATTTGCAAAATTGTTCTATTTTTCGATTTTGGTTCAAATATGGCTCCTACTCGAGTTATTATACTTTTTTTGGAACATAACGACTGGGTCTGCCTCCAAATCGCTCAAGTCGATAGTTTTTCCTTTCGTGGAAACATCCTTGTGCTTTTTTATCATCAACCAGCCCATGTGGGAGAAAAAGAATCCTCTTTTGGCGTTATGTGGGTCAGCGTCTGTGTCGGTAAACTTGTGGTGCACCCTGTGGTCTCTCGCCCAATCGTATATGGGAGTTTGAACGGACATGGTTTGCAGAATACAAAGAAATATTCGTAAAGGTAGACGCGCTTTGTATGCTCTGTGAGACCATAACCTATGTGCTCCCGAAGTTATACCCTGTCCAGCGAGAAATACTAGAGCTAGAACTAAAATAATTTTACATAATTAACGCAATTATTGTTTTGCTTGTTGTTTTTTTTCTCACCCCAACATATTGTTTTAATTTTACACGCTATAACCAATAAATACAACCCGTATATTGCAAAGGGATGCAAATACAGGAATAAAATAACATTTCTCCATACTATTTCCCATTCGTACTGAGGCTGGCTAGGTTGGTTATTTATAACTTTAGGCTTGGGTGGGTCCACAGGTCTTCCTCTGTATTCTACTGGTTTCACCGGATCTTCCGAGTTGGAAAGCACCACGTCTTTTAAATTTGGTGCCATCACTAAAATTATATTAATATTAGCACCAATAAACTCTTTTACTTTTGGACGAGAAACTACACGACTTACCCCTAAATTACCTTACGAGATGATTTTTTGGCTAACTAACAAATTTGGTGATAAATGGATTGAACGCTATGGTCCAGTTTAATGGCCTGTAAGAAGCCCCGATCTAAGCATCTGAGATTAAAACAAATTAAAATCAGTGGCGTGCCATATTTCTTCTTAAAAATAACAGCCAGGACGCCAATGGAATAAATAATTAAATTTAAATCAAGTTGTTTTCTTATTTTCATGCATTGACATAAGTAATTTCTTTTGATATTCAAAAAAATAAAATTTACAATAAATATACACGACTGTCAATTTAAAAATATTATTATTTATTTACTTACCTATTTTGCTTTTAAAAAAACTTTATGAACCTGATCTTTACAGAATTGAATTGTTTTTTTTAAATCGCTTTATATACTCACAACATGCAAAGAAAAAAATTAGACGTGGAAGGGGTTGAAGTAATTAAAAAGTCATTAAATACAACCAATACTTAGAAAACAATTAAGAAATTTTCAATAGTTTTTTTATTTATTTTTTTTTCAAAACATAAAATTTGCATTAATTTTACAGACCATTATCAAATAAAAAATTTATATACAAGGTGCACCAAGTAGCCATTTTATATAAAAATCTACAAGGTCGATAAATTAAAAAAAAAATGCATTCAGGAATCGAAAAAAAAAAATTCAGTACAAACACTAAACAATCGCCAGAAAAGCAGTAAATCACAGGAAGGCAAACATGCTAAAGGATTAAGTCAATCGCAAAGTTGGATAAAATAATCTCTAATTCTTTCCAGGTTAGCAAAATATCAACATGTTAAATGGCTTAATCTTCTTTAAAGTCAGTATTTGGTAATTTTGAACAACCAGACGCGTGCAGATATATATATCTGCACGCGTCTGGTTGTTCAAAACTCTATCTTCAAGTGAAAAGTGCTATGCTAATATATATATTAGCATAGCACTTTTCACTTGAAGATAGAGTTTCTTCATTCAATGGATTCATTATTTTCATCCACCTTAGAGAATATGTTTGCTCCATATTCCTCTATTAGAAGGAATTCATGAGTATGAAATAAATAAATAGAATACAAATATCATATCCACAGATGTTTATATATTTTAATAAAGGAAAAAAACAATAATTAAAAAAATTAGGAACATGCAACTTTTAAAGCTAATAAAATATAATTTGAGTGAAATTAAAAATAGTTTTTACGCAGTGTTTAACTTGTTAAAAACCCTAAGATCCTCCTTATCTTCCTCCTTCATATCTTTATCCCCCCATCCCCATATACTATCCCCATGCTCATGACCATGAGCATTGACATCTTCTTTAACTTTAATGGTCCCATCCCCAGTCCTCTTGATTCTTCTTTTTATGATATCGAGGGAGGCCGTTTTTAGGTCGTAAGCCCATCCTATTTTAGCCATTAGATCTATGAAGCCTGTGGACCAGTTGAGTCTGTAGTTTCCTAGCTCAGCCGTTTTGTAGTCCCAAGGAAAAGCGTGGTGGTAGTTGTGCCAACCTTCTCCAAAAGCGATAAATGCTACCATGTAGTTTTCAGTCGGTTTTATGCTCCTAAAATAAATAAACAATGTTTAACTTTAAATTGCTCAAGCAGCAACACAAATCTTTAACCCTATCAAATCGTTTGTTTTTACAATCCTTGGGGTATAATGTCGTGATCAAAAATGTTTGATATCTAAGGAAAACCGCAATTTGATGAAACACTGCAAAAAATTGAATCTAGTACATTAAATCTTTTACTAATAACGATGTTGTCGAAATTACCTAAAACGGCTGGAGCTGGAGATGTAGAGTTCGTTAAAAACGCAGGAGCCTTTTTGTTTGATATGATTTCATATGATCTTAATGTCAAAGAAGTTGATAGTGTGGGTAATCCAGGTATTGCAAGCACAATAAAAGGATTTTTATGCTATGGTACAAACGATACAGCAAGCATGCAATAAATCACTTACTTATCATAAGGTCTCATTCCCCATATGTGAGCGGCACTATTCACCAACCATGTTCCATTTATTGAATAAGTATAACGCAAAATCCCTGCAGTGTGCCATGAATTCCACAACGTTTCACCCCAGAAATACCATGGAACGGCTGTTGGTATCAGAAAGGCAATGGGCATCAAAATCAAGTAATACCTAAAATAATTATAAACATGTTTGTAAGATGCTTTAAATTGTGATCGAAATATCAATGGTTCACAAATTAAAACCTATTGTTAAGTCAAATAAAATGCTTTTGGTAATGATTTGCAAAATTTTTCTATTTTTCGATTTTGGTTCAAATATGGCTCCTACTCAAGTTATTATACTTTTTTTGGAACATAATGACTGGGTCTGCCTCCAAATCGCTCAAGTCGATAGTTTTTCCTTTCGTGGCCACATCCTTGTGCTTTTTTATCATCAACCAGCCCATGTGGGAGAAAAAGAATCCTCTTTTGGCGTTATGTGGGTCAGCGTCTGTGTCGGTAAACTTGTGGTGCACCCTGTGGTCTCTCGCCCAATCGTATATGGGGGTTTGAACGGACATGGTTTGCAGAATACAAAGAAATATTCGTAAAGGTAGACGCGCTTTGTATGCTCTGTGAGACCATAACCTATGTGCTCCTGAAGTTATACCCTGTCCAGCGAGAAATACTAGAGCTAGAACTAAAATAATTTTACATAATTAACGCAATTATTGTTTTGCTTGTTGTTTTTTTTCTCACCCCAACATATTGTTTTAATTTTACACGCTATAACCAATAAATACAACCCGTATATTGCAAAGGGATGCAAATATAGGAATAAAATAACATTTCTCCATACTATTTCCCATTGGTACTGAGGCTGGCTAGGTTGGCTATTTATAAGTTTAGGTTTGGGTGGGTCCACAGGTCTTCCTCTGTATTCTACTGGTTTCACCGGATCTTCCGAGTTGGAAAGCACCACGTCTTTTAAATTTGGTGCCATCACTAAAATTATATTAATATTAGCACCAATAAACTCTTTTAGTTTTTGACGAGAAACTAAACGACTTACCCCTAAATTACCTTACGAGATGATTTTTTGGCTAACTAATAAATTTGGTGATAAATGGATTGAACGCAATGGTTCAGTTTCATGGCCTGTAAGAAGGCCCGATCTAAGCATCTGCGATTAAAACAAATTAAAATCAGTGGCGTGCCATATTTCTTCTTAAAAATAACAGCCGGGACGCCAATGGAATAAATAATTAAATTTAAATCAAGTTGTTTCCTTATTTTCATGCATTGACATTAGTAATTTTTATTTGATATACAAAAAAATAAAATTAACAATAAATATACACGACTGGCAAATTTAAAAATATTATTATTTATTTACTTACCAATTTTGCTTTTAAAAAAACTTTATGAACCTGATCTTTACAGAATTGAATTGTTCTTTTTTAAATCGCTTTATATACTTACAACATGCAAAGAAAAAAATAAGACGTGGAAGGGGTTGAAGTAATTAAAAAGCCATTAAATACAACCAATATTTAGAAAACAATTAAGAAATTTTCAATAGCTTTTTTATTTATTTTTTTTCAAAACAAAAAATTTGCATTAATTTTACAGACCATTATCAAATAAAAAATATATATACAGAGTTCACCAAGTACCCGTTTTTATATAAAAATCTACATGGTCAATAAATTAAAAAAAAAATGCATTCAGGATTCGAAATCACAGGAATTAAGTCAATCGCAAAGTGGGGTAAAATAATCAGAATATATCTGTTCTCTAATTCTTTCCGGGTTAGCAAAATAACAACACAGTGGCGGCTCGTCAGGGTAGGCCTCTGAGGCCGCGCCTCACCCTTAAAATGAAGGAACGAACGAACTTTTTATATTTAACGTATTTATATTTTTGCCTATTACAAGTGTATTTTTAAAACAGTTCTACCCAATAAAAAGTAAAAAACCAATCAATCATATTAAGCGTAAATAAAAATCCAGGCGCAAAGCGCGTCAAGTTAAAGTGCATCGTTGAGAGTCGCTTGGACAGAGGCGAAATTTTCACAGCCTCGGAAGCTCCCATTTACCTCTTGAAAGCGAAAATGACTCACCAACAAAAATATCGCCGTAAGTTCGCGAATAAACACCGTAGATGAGGCGAAATTTAGTTAGCTTGGTTTGTTCTGATTGGTGGTCCGTTTATGGTGGGATGCCAGCGGAGACAAAGAAGGTTGCCAGTCTTCTCTTAGCGTTTGTAGAGCACGTTATTGTTTTGATTCAGATTAAATTATTTAAAACTTTTGGCAGATCTTTTATAGTTTTGATTGTTTTGATTCAGATTAAATTATTTAAAACTTTTGGCTGATCTTTTATAGTTTTTGTCCCGATTAGTAAAATTTCTTATTTAATTATTGTAGGGAACACACTAAGGTAGATTTAGCAGTTTTTATTAAGCAAATTTTATATTTTGAAATAATAGATTGCATAATTCTTCAATTAGAGACGCTGTTTGAAAATTTAGAATTACTTTTAAATCTCACTGCAGACCCACAATTTTACGACCAAATAATAGATAAATTTTCAATCTTAAAAGATAGACGTATAGTATTTTATATTTTTTAATACTTAGGTAGGGGTCGACTTTTTAGTTTTATTTTTATTTTTTGATTAATTTATTTATTTTTAACTTTTTTAAGGCTATATTTTTAAGTTTAAGATTAAAACTAGTCTTTGATGTGATATTTTGTTTGTTTTGTTTTTTAGAGTTTATTTTTTGATTTAGTAGTGCTATCGGCTTCATTTTAAAAAAGGTCAACGCGTCGCAGAATAATACCTCCCGGGTGACGTGGAAATTTATTCGTATTTAGACAAAATTAACCTTATGTAGCCTCACCCTCCTGTACACCCACGAGCCGCCACTGTAACAATATGTTAAATGGCTTAATCTGCTTTAA